GATTTGCATTTGGAATCATATTCTGTGGCTGTGCCTTGAAGAGCACTGTGAGATCTAGGCAACCCACCGGAACTGTCACTTGGACCATATACATGGGAGTAACTTCACCAGGGACTCTGCAGGCAGAGGCCAGAGTTCAGACACGGGGGTCTTGACTGATGTTCGATGATGTCAGCATTGCCTTAAACCTTTGGCAATGTTTCTGTCATTAAGAGGAGAAGCATTGTCATTTAAAGCTATAGTATGTAGGAGAGCCTTGTTTGTTCTCTTGCTTGATGTCGGAGGTTTTTTTGTCTTTCTGGATGTGGAGGTCTATTACTCTTTTTTCCAGCTAGTTCTCACTGTAAATATTTTGTGCCTCAGGGAAAGTTAGGCCTACAGAAGGAGAGGGAGAGCAGAAGCCGGAGAAAAATAATGCTGTGCACAGTTACTGAGGCTGTGTGGCATGGTCCCCGGAGACCCTTACATCTGGGCTGATTGTAGGGAGAGGCCGTGTGAGCTCTGGGGGAACAAAGGCATGTGGAAGAGTGAGCAGCTGAGGAAAGGAAGGGCAAAGGGAGCTGCCTTTGTCCTGTGCATGGTCACAGAGCCTTGGTTGTAGGGGCTACCTGCCACAAGCAAGCAGAGCATCCCTCAGCTTCTCTGAGGCTCATTGTCATATGACAGAAAAAGCAGTTTTAGATTGGGTGGGATCATGCCCAAAAGAAGCTGCCAATAGGTCAGCAGGTCAGGTTGTGTGTATATGTGTTGCTGTGTATCTGTGTGTGTGTGTGTGTGTGTGTGTGTCTGTGTGTGTCTGTGTGTGTCTGTGTGTGTGTCTGTGTGTCTATGTGTCTTTGTGTGTGTATCTTCCTCCACACACTAGTCCCTCTGTGCCTGCTGTCAAAGCCTCTGGTATAGGCCAGGAGGAGAAATGATGACAGTCACCTAGGATGGGAACCAGCTTGATTCTGAATTGGAGAGCTTCTGTGACCTTTAGACTCAGGGTTGAATAGAGAGCAGTTTGGAGAGTGAAAGAGCACCTCTCAGCAGGAGGAGCACTAACAGGAAGCTGCATCCAGTGGAACAGCACCTCACTGCTGAGCTCTGAGGGGAGCCTGGTGTCTTCATGGTGCCTGTAGATTGTTAGGTTTATTTTACACAAGAAAGGAAGCACAGAGAGAAGGGAATGTGTGGATATCACCTGCAGCTGGGGTCTAGGCATCAGATAGACTGAGCTGTGCTGTTACCAGTGAGGTTTTAGGGTGGTTCCCTGGCATCCTTACCTGTAACATGGATTGACAGCTCTCCTACCTTTGTCCCAGAGCATGTATATCTCAACAGCTAGCAAAAGACACCATGCTGCTACCGGTGTGGAATGCAAGCTGGGTTCCATTGTGCTTGGAAGCCTCCTGGTTGGTCCTTGAAACTTGAAATAATGAAGATGCTAGTTTCTTGCAATAAGCCTAAGGGGATAAATGGAACCTAACCCTCTTCCTTAGAAAGGCCAAACAGTCATGGTTCGGTAACCCAGCTCCGATCTGCAAAAACATCCAGAACGACCTCCAGTTCAAATGTGGTACTACTATTTTTGTAGTATCCATACAATCTTGGCGATTGCAGGCTTTCCTTGCAATCTCAAGGACATGGTAGATTAGTACCTCGACTTGCCTGTCTGTTGAAAAGGCCTTGCAATTCCCCTGGGCTGATTCATTTGCTGTCCTATTGCACATTGTCCAGGTACCCAGCGTGAGGTTTTTGCCACTCTGATGGTTATCAGTGCTGATGGAGAAAAGCAGAAGCTCCCAGGCCTCCTGTTTAATAGATGAAAAAAGTGCCCTCAGCTGTCTCAGTACCAAGTCCTGTGGAAAGTATGCAGGAGTCCAAGAAACCATCTTAATGTTTTGGAAAGACTAGTGCTGGCTGCCCATCCCCCCCACAGCACTAATACCCAGCCTTTGTTGTTGGCATGTAGTTCTCAGCCAGTCCCTCTGAGGACTCCTGCTTTTCATGCACTGTGGGGCGATTGGCCAGATAGATGTTCTTTGAATGACAAACTCAGCAGTTAGGAGTAGAGCTTTTGATAGTCAAAAAGTCTGTCTTCTCTCAGTGTTCTGTCATCTCAGGAATTAATTCCACTTTAGCCCATTCTATTTTTAGTTTATCTAGTTTTGAGTACTTCGTTGGGTATGATTTAACCCCACAGCAGAAACATCTTGTGCTAACAGTGTTTTCTTTTGTTCGTGCAGCGGAGCTGATTACTATGATTATGGGCATGGACTCGGCGAGGAGGCTTATGATTCCTATGGTGAGTGGCCATAATAAAACAATCGAGAGAGGGCAAGTAGCCATGGACAGACCTTAAACGTCCTGATTAGCAGACAGAGCCACACTTGTAATGATGAATTCATCTTACGTATAGAGCCTCTTCCTCCTCCTATTGGCTTTGTCTACACCTTGCTATTTCCAGAGGCTCATTTAATAGTTAAACAAAATATTTAAAGACAGCATGCTTAGGTGTTTTGTTTGGGTTGATGGCCAGTGCTGACCTTCTCACCATTTTAACAGAGTAGGCTGCCAGACTGCAGACACTTGCTGGCATGGGTTTTTTTGAAGTGGCTTTGCTTTCTGCTAGTAAAGAAGATGACGCCTTTGAGATCGCTCACAGGCTTCTCCCACTCCCCTCTTTATATTTTAATTCCTGCCCAACCTCGAGACCTCAGAAAAATTATACCAAGAATCATTTCAGAAAGGTTATAAATATAAAAACTGAGGCCAGGAGGAGACACGAGGCTCCACCAGGCTCATTAGGAAGTAACTCCTCTTCGTTCCGAGGGAGCCCATAGAGGTGCTGGGCAATCCATGGCCAGAGTCTCAATATGCAAAAGGGCGACAGGTTTAATTAACAGAATTGACGGAAACGACAAAATGATAGTAAGAAGTGTCTTTGCTGCAGGGCAGGAGGATCAGGGAACCGGAAGCCTCTGCTCATGGCAGAGCTCCAAGAGTGCCTGTGCACTTGAGTCAAGACCCTGGGAACTTGACTCAGTGACATTTCCCTGACCTTAAAAGAAAACCCATTTTCTGGTGCACTTTGAAGTGTATTTTATATCCCCTGCCAGGGGCTGAGGTGGCCATATATTGGCTGTTTTTTTTATTTCCTTTTGTGGGTTGCTTTTTTTTTTTTTAATTCATAACGCTTAAGAGAGATGCATTGGCTTGGTGTGTGCTATCTACTTAAGTTCATGCGAGTTTGCCAGAGGGAGTGACGTGGATTGCATGTTTGTATCAGAAGAGGTCATTTTAAGCATTTTTCTCTCACAGCTTTTTAAATTGGTCTCTGGGGACACATGGCTTTTCGATTGCTCTGTGTTACAGCAGGGACTTAACTGTTTGCTGTCTGAGAACTGGGGACTCCTCAGTGAAAGTCCTGACACTGGACACTGTTGAGGTTCAGGAGGTAAAGGTGGTAGAGTGTCTGTGGCTACTGCCAGCTGTCCAGCATGCGTGCCGTTCCTAATGTGGGGTCACTGAGGGCATCCATACCCATGTGCCTCCTGCAATCCCCGTGTGGAGAACCTGGAAAGAGGCTGCAACTTTTCTCTATCTGCCCTTTCTACTCTGATCTCTGGTTTTTCCTCTTTTTTTCTTTGCCCAAATTATTTATTCCTTTTTTGTCTTTGCTGTTGGAAGAAAATAGAATGGTCCTTTCTCATTCTCTTCAGAGTTTCCTTAAAGGCTTTTGGATTTGCTCCAGGAGAGAATCACTGTTCCCAATGCAGAGGTCACTCTCTTCTCAAGGCCATCTTGTCGCTGATGACACGATCACTTGGTGTTGTGTTCACAATATTTTTAAGTAAATCCGCTTTGTGTTCCTTTTATTAGCCCATCAGAGCCATGTATCTCCTGTGTGACATTCACCACTGGTTCTGACAGATGAAGCTCCTGGGACCTCATGACAGTGGCCTAATTATGATTCATCTTCCTGATTTTAGGGCAAGAGGAATGGACTAACTCAAGACATAAGGCTCCTTCGGCGAGGACGGCGAAGGGCGTCTACAGAGACCAGCCATATGGCAGATACTGATTGTACTGTCTGATGTTGTGAAATAGCCAATCTCCACCGTCCTGTATACTGTTCAAAGTAATTTTTTTCTATGACCAATCCCTTTTTAAATAAATCAAAATGCTTAAAATCTGAATGGATGGAACTTAAAGCCACTTTGTTGAAGCATCCACTTGGCAGGGAGAAGGACATGTAAAATTTTGTTATTTGCAGTCTGTATATGAAAACTAGGTTATGAAAAGGAAAAAATAACTTTGATTAACTAGTGTTAAACAAAAAGATAGGTTTACTAAATATGTTAATCCATTCTTTAACATAAGCCTCACCTTTCATTTTAAAGGTTTCCATAGAATTTAGTTATTTTATCTTTCAGCCATATGCTAGTTTGTTTTTTTTCTTTCTTTCTTTCTTTCTTGCCAACTTGCGTAAAAAGGGAGCCGATTACAAGTGCAGACAATGTGGTATTCTTTTGTAACTGAGTCCTGAAATGTTCTGTAGTGTTAGGCAAAGTCTCCTCTTGCTTGATACTAAATAAACTTTTGAAAGAAATTTCGTGTGTGTGAGCTAACGATTTCATGTTTTTCTATTTAAAAAGTCCTTCATAAATAGCTGTAAACAGGGAAAGGGTTCCTCTAACAGCGCTTGTCATAAAAGGGTCACACTAAATATTGTACAGCTTCCTTTAAAAATGGGATAAAATTAAACGTGCCATGGTATACTCACCATAAGTTCAGATGCGGTCTAAAGAGTCCACACGGTATCAAGCTACTCGAGTGGCACGTTAAACCCACGCAAACCAAACCTGACTTTAAAACTGGTTCTAAAATAACTACTGGATTTTCTGAAAAGGATGTGATCAGTTTTCATCTTGTCGAGCGTTTTTTCACTAGTGCAACTTTGGATTTTTTATGAGACTTTTGGTACCTTAATGAACACCTCGCTCCATGCTGGAAGCATAAGCACAGAGCTTTTAAAGACATTCTGACTTGCCTAATTGAGGTCGCACTCGCCAAGGCTGAGGATGTGTAACCCTTAAACGGTCTTCATTTTCAAAGGTAAATAAATGAAATAAGATTTTAATCTCACTTAATTTATCTTAATATAACTAATAAAGCCAGGGAGATTACAACTTAGCTGGTTTCATTATCCATTTTAGAAAGGTTTTAAGAGCACCTAAATTCTCATTTTAAAAAGTTTAATTTGTTTTAGTAATCTAAAAAGCCTTAGTCTAGCCAGTTTAATTGGGGCCAATTCTTCCCTATTAAACAACTGTAAAACCTCATAACTAGTTGTGTGTAATACATCTTTTGGTTAATAATTGAGGGCGTTCTTAAAAGTGACAAGGGTTTAATAAAGTTATATGTTAATCATTTGGCTTAAGTTTTAATTATAGATTATGTAAACTGATTATATGGGGGGGATTCCTTATATTTATTTTGAGTAAACAGATTTCTTCTTTTGTTAGGAAATGTCGACCACATTGGACTGTCAGAGGAGCTCCGTGTGACATAGAGCAAAGGTGAGCATCTTTGGCCAAGATGCTGAGTTGCTGAGGAGACGAGGGACGGTTCTTGCTGTTGGCATGGGGTGAAACGTGGTCCACCACAGCTTAGGGTCCAAAGGGACCTCCTGGGGCAGCCAGGAGGCATTCACAGCATGAATGGGCCAGAGGCTAGAAACTGGAGGCTCAGACTGGCAGCACCTACATTCCTAGCATAGTTTTCAGTGAGACTAGAAAAATTTAGTCAACAATCTGCAAAGGTTTTTCTGAATCCTTAAGTTAAAGCAGTCTGCCAACCCGAATGTTAAATATGAACCTTTCATTTTACACATGATGTGTGAAAGCAAAAACGTACAGAAATATACAAGCAAGTTTTCAAAGCCTGGCCTTGGCGAACAGTGCTTTGCGCTTCTGAATCTTGAAAATTAGGCTTTTTATAAAATAAAATCAAACCAGGTGTTTCATACGATTCTCCTTTTAACTCTGGAGATCTATAAAGTAGGTATCTGTAAAAGAGGGATGGTTATCGTTAATTTGATCTCACTTTGCAGACATGCACCACTGCTCAGGTCCTGGACCACGTGATCTTCCTGATGCTTCCCTTTTATGGTGTGATGTTTGAGGGTTATTGTGGGCTTTGGTACTCTGTTTGTCTTTGTATTTTGAGATTTGCTGTCATTCTGTGACCCTGGCTGGCCGGAAACTCATTACATGTGTATACCGCCATGCCTGGCTAGAAGATCTCAAGTGTTTATATTTGAGCTTTGCCACTCAGCTGTGCACATCTGGCCAAGTGTCCCTTCCTGTCAGTACCTAGGAAATAAGGCATGCTATTCATAGTTCTATAACTTTCAGTAAGTGATAGTACTGTAGGCATTGTTTAAGCAGATACAGTCACAAAAAGGTCAGTGGTCAGGATTGAATTCACATATCTAATATAGAGGAGAAGCATACAAACTTTTCTTTTGTTAATAGTCAAAATTAACTGAAATGCTTAAATTGTGCATAGGAAGAAAACGAATCTCTTCTAATAGAGCAAAATTGTGACGTTTATTGAGTTTGTTTTTTGCTTGGGTTTTGTTTGGTTTGTTTTTATAGGGAAGGAATGTGACATGTCATAGTGTCATAACTTTGGGCTTTCTTAAGTATTGTTGTTTAGCAATTGGCATAGCAAATAACAAATGTAGCCTTTTCTTTTTTATGGTTTACACAGCAAATAGTTTATTATCAGAGAATTCTGTGGGTCAAAACTGGGTCACAGGGCTACAGGCAGGATGCTGGCAATGGTTCATTGTATAAGCTCTGGGAATACCAAACTCTTCCCTGCTGGGCTCTGTGAAGTACATGCACTCCCTTGCTCTCCCTGGCTCAAACCCTGTCCTGAGTCTAGAGTGTGTCAGTCCTCAGGGAGGCTTCTTCAATCAGGACTTGTGGGTAGGCAGAGGGTGGTCTTCTAACAGCCAGAAATTACAGAATGTTATCTGTATTTCATTTTTGCAGAGTCCATAGCTCCATCAGACAGTGATTAGGGGTTAATCCAGTCTGTTTTGAGTGCTCCTACTGGCTTCTGTGTTACTAACACTTTGCTTCTCTGTGGCTTGTAACTTAAGGGAGCCGGGGGCTGACAGAGCAGCATCTGCTACAAGCGGCAATATTCAGAGCAGAGTAGGAACAGGAAGGGGCCAGACACAGTCCCTGGATAGACAAGCCTCCAGGGACACACTTCTCCCAACCAGCCTCACCTTCCAGCATCCCATCACTTTCTGATAGTCTGTTCACAGTTTGACTCTCTCAGTGGATTAAACTGTTGATTCACCAGAGCATCCTGAAGTGATATCCTCCCTACTGTGCTTTACTTCTCTCCTGGGCAATTCTCGGTGCAATCTGGCTGATAAAGTCAAGTATCACAACTGCAGTGTCTCTTGGCCTGTCACCACTCCCTCCTGCAAACCTGAATTCCTCCTGCTGCTATAAGAAGTGTCTGGAGTGCCCCCATATTATGCTGCGCTCATGTGCTCTGCTCCTGGCCTGTCTCTTCCTGTGAGTCCCTCTGTCTTCTCATGTGATGACATTCCAGAGAGTGAGTTCTGTACTAGATATAAATCAGATAGTGGGAATGTAGTGACTTAAAAGATACAGGCACTTCATTTAAGCCATTTGAAATCTGATCATTTTGGTGAATCAGTATTCTCTGCTCTTTTGCATATGGAAACCTTCAAAAGCCCCAACCTTCAGGACTCAGTTCACTGTCCTCTATGCTGTTAACTCTCCCATCATCCTCTCTGAACTCAGTCTGGGTTTTCTCTGCTGGTAATTATACTGCCATCCTCTGTTCTCTCTGAAGAGATGATTTTGTGACTTTTACTTCCTTTCAGTATTGATGTCATTGCATAGTAGTTGCGAGCCATATCAGTGGCCAAGCATGTGCTTGTCACTTCCTTTAAACTGTTTCATTGAATTCTAATTACTATAAGTGTTGCCTTCTGCATTTTATAGAAGAAGCAACCGAAGCTTCGGAAGGTGAGGTCATTATGTTAGGTCTAAATCCTTGTAACAGATAGAAGAAAGGTTTGAATTCAGCTGCTGGGGTCTAGAGTCTTGGAGTTTTGAAATACTACCTTTTCCTGATCTCCATGTTACACTGGTCTCATCATAGTGAAGGCTTCTTACAATGGGGAGCTGTCTGCTACCTTATATCCCACTGGGCATCAGCCAAACATTGTGACTGGCACTGTTCCTCCCTTCCCTATCCCTGCCCTACATTCCTGCATAAGGAGATGCATTGACTTTTCAATGAAAACATCTTGTCCTAAACATCATGTACTTCAAGTATTCTAAGTCATATCCCTTTTAGTATTCACGTGGGGTAACTGTCTTCTGAGTATCTGTTTAGCAACAGGTGGAAAGGATACAGAGACAAAGACAGCTCCTGCCCTTGCAAGTATCACTCTGTTGTGAACATTAGAAAGCTGAGTGCCAACCAGAATGGCCTTGAACATACATGTAAGGTGCTTTATAGATGACTGAAGAGGGATGCAGTAATCGGACAGGGTGCTTAGAGAAAGAGGACGTTACCAGCAGGGGCTTAGGGCCAGATGAAAGTGGATACCCTCACAGAACAGAACACATTATAGGGGCACCCATCACCTAGCATGTTAACCTTGAGTGAAACCTCCTCTCGACTGTAGGGTCCCCACCCGTGAAATGAACATGACAGAGATATCTGCCTTCACAGAGCTATGCAGGTACAAGCATGCCCGAAACAAGGTCAAAGTTCTTTCATTCTCTCCTGTTGCTGTGTGTTTACATGAGACAATGTGATCCTGGAGGAAATGTCAGCCATGTTAGATGATGAAAGGGAGATGAGCCGGGCTGGTAGGTGAGGGACGCGACGCATGTGCAGAAGCTCCCTCCAGCTTGCCTGCTCTGCAGAGACCACACCTCCATGTACTAAATTCCACCCAGAACTCTGTACAAACTCAGGTGCCCTGATGTCTCCACCCCTCTGTCCCTGGCTCATCACACAGCCTCAGGCGGGTTTAGTCAGTCAGCATAGAGAAAACCAAACCGTGCCCAAGGCACAGGGAGGCTAGCTGAGATGCCCCTGTAGGGAAAGAGATGTCATGGAAATAGTTACAGCGCAGATAGATAATCCTAGTTCTCTCGATTTAACTCAAAATTACATGGAGATGCTCATCACGGTTTTCAGGGAAAGGGCCCGTATAAAACTGGTGGCTTTGAAATACAGTCAGAATCCAACTGCCTCTAAGTCACTGTTTTCAAAATCTGTGGTGAATAAAATGAGGCGTATGTCCTCTACGCAGTGTTCTATAGAGACAGGAAGGCGAGAACTCGTTGTTAGCTTTAAAGTGGCCTGTTTCATCCTGACTCTGTGCCCCTGTCTGGGAAAGTTGTAAGTCAGTTTCCTATCCCATTCCACTCTATCTACCGGGAAATTACCGTCACTTGCAGATGACTCTAATTCCCCAGGAGGAATCCTAGTTCAAGGAGCTCACCCTACCTCCAATCCAACCCTCGTCAGGGATCAGCTCCCAGGCTGAATTCATTCTCAGTTCTTCCAGTTAGTTCTCAGCTCTGTGTGGAACCCTGTGTGGTCTTGCTGCTGTTTCTTCCTCTGCCTGCAGATGGGATTACTTCTCACCTGTCCACTACACTTTTGTTCCACAGATACCTCACCCCTTGTGACCCCTTCCTGTCTGTGCCATTCACTCTCAGATATCGAGTTTTCTTGCCCCATTGACCCAGCTCATAATCCACCACTTGTCCATCAATAATTTCACTGAGACTTGAAGCACGGCATACATGCAGGAAACCTTCCTCCCTGGCCAAAATCCCTGTACCTAGTCACCACTCAAAGACCCTTGGAACACTGTGAATTCTAACACAAATGTTCTGTGACTAGGTCTTTGTCCTTCTTTCCACCATCAAAATAATTAACATCTGTGGTACAGATCTTGTGCATGGTAGGTTGAAGGAATGTGATGGCTTTATATCATATAGAAAAACATGTATCGGGATTTCTTTGCTCTTTTACAACTTTGTAAACAGGTTTTAAAGAAGTGTGTGTGTGTGTGTGTGTGTGTGTGTGTGTGTGTG